CTGCCGCCCCCCCCTGCCCTGCGCTCTGTGGGGGGGCTCTGCCATGAGCCCTCAGAGGCCCCAGTCGCCACTGGCAGAGCTGGTGAGTGCAGGGCTTGTTTTGTTTTTTTTTAAGTGCCGGGAGGGGATGGGGCTGGGGCTGGGGCCAGGCAGGGCAGCCTTGGGGGCTACTCCCACAGCTCCTCTGGCTGTGCTTGCCTCTGCTCCTGCCCCAGTGATGCTCTGCCTGTGCCCCGGTGATGCTTTCAATCGATTAAGAGATTTTAATTGGTCTCCCGATTTGATTCGGATTCGGCGATTCCCTGAATCGGGCCAAATCTCCTCCAAATCGAATCAGCTACCGAAGCTTCGCACAGCTCTACAAAGCCTTACCAATCTTGTGGAAGATTTACTTTACATGAAATCATCTTCAATATTAGAATGATTTTGGCATCCGCTACGTTTGTCTTCTGTTCAGGAGTGACCCCTAGTAAATTTCCCCAGAATGCAAGAGCCACAGAAGAACCACACCATTACTCTGGATCTTGTATGGAAGCAATATTTGCAAAAGCAAGATGATTTCAAATCGAAGAAAATGCACACACCAGTTACTGACACTGGAACAGTTTTAACGGATCTAGCATCCAGCCTTTGGCTGCAAGGCAATTTAAAAAGAACACAACTAGTTGAAGTTGAGATACTTTTCTTTCCTCATAAGATTCACTTCTCATGCTTAATCTGTAACTCTCTGTAGTGAGTTTTTCTAACCATCAATATGACAGTACAGCAATATTGCCTCATCAGTCATGATTTACTTAATGTTTTCTGAATTTAGTAATATTTGATTAAAATTTAATGTGAACATATCATATCATGCCACATATATTATTGCATCCATTAATCAGGTAACCATAATAATGAAATGTTGGAAGATTGGATGAAAAAGGAGCTGAAGTCTTGATATATGTGTGGCATGGTTCTGTGAGTGATTAACGAAAAAATATCAAGTCAATTGTGCAAAGCTTCATTAATATACATTTACAATCTTCTGTGTACTGTATCATCAGATATTTTTAACCTTAGTTAAACTTGATTTTTTAATTTACTGAAAGACACTAAATATTAATATTCCTGAAAAATATATAATCTTCTGTTAACTCATATGATGCCAGAATGATTCATAACATGTCTTGATGCTTTTGTAACAAAATATGTACTAAAAATATTGTCACAGTTAATGGATCATTTTTGTTATAGGTAGAATAATAAATATTTCGTGCTTGGCTCTATAAACCTCAAATTAAACAATTATATTAAAATAAATGTAAGGCAATATTTTCTAGACACTTTTTAAATCTAGAATAAAATGACCTCATCCACCAAAGTGCTTAGGTCTGCTCCTCCTTAAAAGGGCACTCACATGTATGCTTAGATCCCCCTGAAGACAGAGAGTCTTAAGCTTATGCTTGAGTGTTTTGCTCAAAATATGTGGTCTGCTGAACTGGGACCTTAGGCCCTAGTTAACAAAGCTACATGTTAACATGTGCCTTAGTTCTTTACTCACTTGTGGCCCTAGGAGCCTGATCCTATAGCTGGATCCATGTAGGAAATCTCCTTTTCAGGGAGCATTGAAGTCAGTGGGGTTATACCTACACATAACCAGTTTCAGAATCTGGCTTTAGTTGTGTTCAGCGACTAGGTGGAGCACAAATACATTATGCTTTAACACACCACAGATGGACCCTGATGTTAGTTCTTTTGGTGATTTGGTGGGGCTATTTCTTCAGTAGACTAAAGTTGGTAGCTTGCTATAAACCAGGGGTTGGCAACCTATGTCTCATTGGCTAGACCCAGCCTATGGAGCTGGGGCTTTGTCAGCATTTGGCCATGGGGTCTCTGCCCACACTGCACTGTGTGACAGTCAGGCACCTGGGGCTTTGGAAGAGGAGGGGGGCCTCTCCCTGCTGTAACCAACCAGCAGGGAAAAGCAGGGTAGCTAGTTCCCTAGTACCCCTAGGGTAGCTAGTTCTTAATGTGTACTTGTCTCAAATGTGAGCTAGATCATTTCAAACCACTGCCAGAAAACATTGCCAGCCCCTGCTTATAATCAGCAGAGTAGTAGATAAGGATAAACTTTGCCTTCCCACACCTTGGGAAGGTTAGGGGGAAGTTAGGTCATGTTAAAAATGGCCACCCGATCTAACTTAATTTGCTAAGGTATGGACCTTAGACTAATTAGGTGGATCTAAGTGTGTATTGTACAGAAGTTCAGGTCAGTTAGATAAATCTAAAAATCGCTGACCTGACCTAAGTTAACCCTACTCCAAAGTACAGCTAACTTAGATCAGATTTGTCACTTTTAGGTCACTCTAACTGCCCTGAATTTCCATAGTTTCCAGTAAAGCCCCAGGGCTGCGAAAGTCTAGCCACTGGCCCCAGCCACAGGGCTGTGCTTTTCCTACCCCCTCCCTGGCACTGGGCTATTTTTAGCTCCCCAGCTCCTCCCCCTTACCCTCAGATGGACAACTCCTTCCCCCCCAGCCCAGCAAACCCCCGCATCCCACAAGCCTCTCCCAGTGCTGGTTTCCCCAGTATTTGCCAGTGCTGGGAGCCAAGCAAGTAAGTGGGGGTGGGGGTGGAGAGGAAGGTACAGTGGGGACATTATTTGTTTGGAAGCTGTGAGGCTAAAAATAGCCCCTAGTCTTGGGGACTAGGGAAGAGAACCCCCACCATTCCCCACCCTCCCACGGACCCTGTGAGCCCCCTTGATCCTACCAAGCCCTCCCAGACCCCACCAACCTCCCTGTGGACCCTGTCTGCCCTCCTGATTTCCACCCCCCATGGACCATGTTTGCCCCTCTATCTCCCCTGTGGACACTGCCTGCCTCCCCATCCTCTCAACCTCCTCCCATTAATCTCCCCCATCCTGACTTACCTTAGATCACGTGGCCATTTTTCTCTGGATCTAACCTCCCCTTAACTTTGGCAAATGTCTGTACACAGTTTAAGAAAACGGAGAAACAGCCTGATCAAAATCTAGGAGAATGCTAAAGTGGAATCAGCTGAGGTACAGCTCTGCAGATTTCACTTAACTTGATGCCTTTTCTCTTAGGATGGTAAAAAAACACATGACTGGGGGAACAGGTATGTGGCTTACATTTATTTAGAAGCCATTCTGTTTACACAGTCTATCATCTCCTTTCCTTTTCAATCAACCTTATTTTAAATTATATTGGCATACACATAGGAGCTTTGTGAAAGAGCTTACCTGCCTCTGTTGCTTATTTCCCACACAGGTCTGCATACTACTTTAGGTAGTCCCTAAAGAAGTAAAATGTGCTTGGATCTCCAAACCTGCAGTGAAGGAGAGCATCAATATTACTATATGTATGTGAGAGAGAGGCTTGTGCTTGGAAAGAAGCTGGGTTGCAGTCACACCTCATCCTGCTGTGGCTCTAAGCATATTGCATTGTTGCAAAATAATACCTGTGGGAGGATGGAAGTAGTGGGAGGATTTTTCTGCAGTTAAAGTCAGGAGTAGCTTTACTTTAGCAATTACTTTAAGAAAAGCTAGAGCTGGTGAACAGCTTTTGCAGTTGTCTTATAATTAAAAACAGACACACAAATGAAGAAAAAGTTATGCTTTTGTGGTGCCTTCTATCTCAGAAGCTCAAAAAACTTTGCAAACACCAATTAATTAAATCTTGGAACATCTATGAGGCAGATATTTATCCCATGTTACAGATGCAGGATTTGAAACGCAGAGCGCAGCTGCTTTTACAGGGGTCACATGGCATGATTGTAATGGACAGTAAGAGGATCTTGATTTCTTGCTTCAAAGATCTGTGCTTTAATCATCCCATTCAGAGTTTTCTGTAAAACCATCATTTTGTCCTCAGCATATATGCAAGTTGGATGTAAAAAATCTGCGCAGATCTTGTGTTCAAAGCAGTGTTGCATTGTCCTTGACAATCTGAGGCAAAAAGGAGTATGGAAAGTCACACACACAGAAGTCAACAGAAAGATTGAATTTGCATTATTTTTATGTGGAAGGGGTGAAACACATGGCAATTACAGCAGTATTCATGGTTATTTCATCTGAGGTGTGTTCATTTCTCAGAAGTGAAAAATGCAAGTTACACGGTGAAGGTACAGCCATTTAATGTATATAAGTGAGGTTGAGGAGAATAAATACATTGTAAAAGGACTTATTGATCACTTATCTAATGACTGCGATTTTGGATGGTAGAAAAGTTGGTCAGATTCAGTTTGAGAAATCCAAGAACTGACCTTAGCCCTGGTTGTCTGTTTTTATGGTTTGGGAAATGTTTGTGTTTTTCATTGGGAATGAAAAGTTTCCTCTTACCCCAGTCTTGGAGGGGATGCTACTCTTGTCTACAGAAGTTTGCTTCTTGCCATTGCCACTAGTATTGGCAAGAGAAACTTGTTGGAAACATTGCTTTCTGTGATTTTTTTTCTAGAGTTCAGGACTAATGTTGCTTTATTTCTACGTAGCTGCATTACACAAATGTAGCAGAATCTTCATGTGTGTAGGTTTGATACTGGCATAATTAAATTTGGGGAAAGAGAAGATGTGAATTTGCCAGTATTAATGCTATCATCTCTCAGTAGCAGTCTTAACATGATGGATATACTTCATGTATGATTACAGTGAACCATTAAAATTAATCCACATGGATAAAAAGTTTATGTCAGGAAGAGAAGGCCCTGTCAGCTAAGATATATTTGCTTATATTAAATTTTACATTTGGACCTAAAGTATTTTTACATGTCAGAATATAAATGTCCACTGAATGTGAGGTACAAGAGAAACTTGTTGGAAACAACAGGATAGTTGTGATGGTCTTTAGTTCCTGTGGGAGTTTGTGCCATGATCTGAAACTGGCAACCGAGATGATCCATATCTT